CTCCCCGCGGGGCGGTGGCCCCGGCGACCGGGGAGGGGGGTGACGGTACTTCGGGATGGGGGGGTGCAGGCTGGGGACACCCCGCCTTCGGCCACACCCGTCCCCTGCTGGAGTTGCCCACCCAGCGCTGCCCCAGCTGGGAGCCACGCGAACCTGCGGCCGGCGGCGAGCTCTGCGCCCAGACAAAGGCCAGGCCACTCCCAGGCCCAATTAAGCCTCCCGCCTTCCCGGCCTCCCAGCCTCATTGTCCCCGGGGTCGCCAATTAGCCCCGGCGCCCCGCGTGCCCGCCGCGCCCAGGCCCCGGGGCCTCCTTTTAACCCTTCCGGGCCTGCCTGGCTGCCGCCACCGCGGGCTCGGGCCGCAGGGCTGCGGGCGGGCCTGGGCAGGATTGCTGCGGCTAGAGGGGTCGCCCAGGCCCGGTGCTGACCTAGCCTCGGGGCCCCCGCTGGCAGCGCGGGGACGGGGTGAGGATGGCGCGCGTGGGGAGCGGGCGTGGGACCCCTAGCGGCCAGCCGCGGGATCGCAGGCTCTGGGGGAACCTCTTTTCTTCTGGGGGGTGAGCGGTCTTTGGAGCCCTTGACTCATCCGTCGCTTCCCTTCTGATGTGGCCAAGAAGATCCTGGGGCCCCGCCCCCCGGAAGCGCGTAGAAGTGGGGTGCAGTTCCCCTCCCCCTGCCCCTCGAGCAGGGGACTCCCTGGGGCCGCAGGATCGCATCCTGCTTTGCCCCCGGGGGACATCGGCTCGCGAACACCCCGGCTAGAGGCTCCGATCCTCGCCTCGCCCGATCCTCTCCTGTCTTGTGTGTGCTGGGATGGGGGGCCCGAGGGAGCGTGAACCCCAGGTTCACGGGCACTCTCAGGGGAGCCCCTCGGGGCTGCGGGCTGGAGCACCCTGGGATTGCTCTGCCCTGAGTTCTTTGGGGGCTCTCAGGAGATGCATGTCTGCCATTGAGGTCCAGAGCTCTGGGCCCACTCTCGAAGGCACTTGGCTCTTAGAGCTTCGGGCCCCGAAGCTGGTTTGTTTTCCGAGCTGTGCCGGGCACAGCTCCCGGCGGGGTGCGCCCCCGGCGGGGTGCCACCGCGGCGCCCGCACAGTCCACGGGCCGTGGTAACGCCCCATCTGCCCACAAGATGGCGCTCCAGGCCAGGGGCCGGCCCGGGGTCCAGGCGGCCGGCTAGGAGGGGGGCGGCTGGAGCTGGAGGAGCTGGGAGGAAGCGATCTTGACTCCCACACGGAGACACAGCCAGCCGTGCACTGGCGCAGATCCCCGCCCCCAAATTCACACTAGTCTTGGCTCCCGAGCACGGCTGCTGCGGACGTGCAATCTCGGGATGGGATCTTCTCCTTGGGGCCACCCCGCAGTGCAGGCTCCCCACACATGCCAGGCTGCCAACCAGGACCCGTAGGATGGGCTGGTGCCCAGAAACCGCCTGCGTCCTGATGCCCTTCATGGTCTCTCGGAAGGGGAGTTATGGTTGGGGACGCAAGGGAGAAGGTACCACTTTGGCCTATTGCTGAGCTGCCAGCTCTGCCGTACCAGCTTGGAGGTGGCTTGGGAGGTTGAGGTTGCTTTTCATGGGGGGCAGGGATCCAGTCCAGTGATCCCGCCTCCTCCTCTCCACCAGCCTCACCCCGGTTCCCAGGGTGGAGCCAGGCTGCAAAGAGAGGCCCTGTGGAGCTGCTCACCTGCCTGCCCTTCCAGCAGGCGCCCAGCGCAGGAGGCCCAGCAGAGGCTGTGATTCCAGGAGGAGGAGGAGGAGGGGAGGATCCCTTTGAGCACAGGAGAATCTCTCCTTGGATTGAAAGCCACCATGCTTTTGGGTTAGCTTTGAATGGGGCAGGAATAGCTGGGTGGTCTCAAGACTAGGTTTGGAGTGACTGCCAGGATTTGGAAGTTTGGTTCCAGTGGGCCCTCCATGCCCACCTGGAGATTGGTGCTGGCACCCGGAAGAGATTACACACATTTCGCATCTCTTTTTGGGGGGGGCGGAGAGGGGGGGAATTGAACTCACCGCTTGGGCACTGTTCCTAAGATTCTTTTGCTCAAGGCTAGAGCTCTACCACTTGAACCACAGCACCATTTCCCACTTGTTCTGTTTATGTGTACTGAGGAATTGAACCCAGGGCTTTGTGCATGCTAAGCAAGCACACTACCACTAAGCCACCTTCCCAGCCCATCTTTTCCCACCCCTTTCCTGCATCTTCTGTTGGGTGATTGACTCATTGTCTACATGCCCATGTGGAGCTGGGTGCTAGTGGCTTGTTGGGAAGCACAACTGCATGGCACCGAAGCACAAGGTCACACTCCGCCTCCAGCTGGGAAAAGCTGGTTAACATGAATTTCTTCTCAGGGCTTCAGAATCTTCACCTGCAAAACAAGTCGCATTAAATTGATGTATAAATGACCTGTTGGCCACACATAGCCCACTTTCCAGGCCTCCCCTCCCCCATCCTCCACTGCTTCAGAAAGACACAAGGCTTTCACTTCCACAGAGCACTTGGGGAGCCTGAGCTTGACCAGTGGGTAGACAGGGCCAATCCTAGACCTTGGTGGGGGGGGGGCTTAGCTGAGGCTAAGATTCTTGGGGGGTGGCAGCAGGGCTGGTGGCCCAGATGAATTCCCAATTAGGAAATCACATTCCAGGTCCTGCAAGCCCCAGAGGAACCGGCTGGCTCCAGCTGCCTCCCCTCCCTGGGGAATGTGGCAGTTCCCTCTCCCCCCCACCCCATGCTGACTCTTGGTGTGGCACTAGCATGTGACTTCTCCTCAAAGACAGGAAGGCAGGGCTGGGAAGGTGGCTCAGTGGTAGAGCGCTTGCCTTGCATGCATGAGGCCCTGGGTTCGATTCCTCAGCACCACATAAGCAGAAAAAGCCGGAAGTGATGCTTTGGCTTAAGTGGTAGAGCGCTAGCCTTGAGCTGAAGAGCTGAGGGACAGCGCCAGCGTTCAGGCCCCACAACCGACAAAAACAACAAAACAAGACAGGAAGGGATAGTAATTGAAGACATCAGGTAACTGTATGGGTGTCTCCAAGAGCTGGAATACTCCACGGGCTAATCTCTCTCTCTCTCTCCTTCCTTTCTCTTTCTTTCCCTCCCTCCCTCCCTCCCTTCCTTCCTTCCTTCCTTCCTGTGTGCAAGTCCCAGGGCTTGAACTCCAGGCCTGAATACTGTCCCTGAGCTGTTTTACTCAAAGCTGATGCTCTCGCACTTGAGCCACAGCTCCGCTCTTGGCTTTTATTTTATTTTGTCAATTGGAGATAGTCTCATCATGGACTTTCCTGCACAGGCTGCTTTTGAACTGCAGCGGTCCTCAGACTCAATCGCTTGAGTAGGTAGGATTACAGGTGTGAGCCACTGGCTCACCCACTTACCTGGGTGAAAAGCTTGTGGCGCTCAAAGTGCTTTCCATGGCTGGCAGGACAGAGACTATGAGTCTCTGTCCCCCACACGGACATGGGGTTCAGAGCAGGGAAGTGAGGTGCAGGACAGGGCTCTTTCACAACCCCTGGGGCCAGGCTCTTAGGGACAGAGTTGATGAGGTGTCAGGGTAAGAGGCAGCCTGCTGCAGGAGCTCAGCCGGCCAGTGCCCTCTCTGGCCGGATGCTGGGTCCTGGGAGAAGAGGCCGGGCGCAGAGCCAGGTCAGGGGTGGATGGAAGGGCAGCCTGGAGGCGAGACTGGCCAGGGATGCCTGGTGAGAGTGAGGATCACTGGGAGGGTCCCCAAGATAGTTAGTTGTACTGCTCTTGCCAGCCCAAGTCCTCTTCAAGATGATTTCTTTCCCAAAGAGAACAGGCTGTTTGTCTTGTGGCCCCAAGGCACTGCTCCCCAGCCCCACAGGAAGAGCTAGGGCACAACACGCATGAGCAATGCCATATCCTCCTCCTCCTCCTCCTTTTTTTGGTTTATCATGGAGCTTGAACTCTGGGCCTGGGCGCTGTCCCTCAGCTCTTCAGCTCAAGGCAAGCGCTCTACCACTTGAGCCTCAGTGCCTATTGGAGATGAGTTTCACCGAGTTTCCTGGCCTGGGCTGGCTTTGAACGGCAATCCTCAGATCTCAGCCTCCTGAGTAGCTAGGATTACAGGCGTGAGCCCGCTGCCATTTCCTTCATGATTCCCAACTGCAAACTCTTAGGATGGCCATTTCCACTCATTTCACACAAGGAGAGCCCCAAGCTTAGACCTTAGCAAAACCAGAAGGGTCAGGAGGCAGGTTATGGGGTCATACCAAGCCCTGGCTGATCCCGAAGTCCCCCAAATTCCAGCTCTGCAGTTCTGGGGCCTCCAAGTCTCCCCTCCCCTCCACTGTCCACTGGTCCCAGCCCTCAGGACTGGATTTCCTTTAGCTGGGAAATTCCAGCTCTGACTCTCTTCTCACAGGGGCTTTGCCCCCCTCCCTCCATAACTGTCCTAGTTTGCCCACATTTCTGGTCTCAGTCCTGCTTTCCTGTGCTCTGGAATATTCTAAGTTCTGAGCAAGTCATCCAGTAGGTCACCATCCCACTTTCCTTGGGAGATCCCCACAGACATACATGCGTGCAGGCAGGAACGCAGAGATGTACGCCCTGCATGCGCATCTACAGAGAAACATACTCAGAAACAGATGTCTGGGTGTAATTTCTGCCTCTGAGGAAACTGAGGTGCCAGGATGGAATAGTCCAGTTCAGCCTGGGCAACATAGTTGAGACCCTGTCTCAAAGTAAAAAAATAAAAGACATCCAGATACTTGCACACAGATACTTGCACACAGATACATGTGTGGGCTTTGAACACACAGACCCAGCATGCCCACACATGGAAACACGGTCTTTATGCAAACAAGTGAAGATGCCTTGTGGAGGTGGTTGCTATAGAGAAATAAAGGCAGCCACATGCAGGTGGCTTACACCTGTGTAATCCTAGCTACTCAAGAGGCTGAGGATTGTGGTTTGAAGCCAGCCCAGGCAGGAAAGTCTGTAAAACTCTTATCTCCAATAAACTACTCAGAAAAAGCCAGAAGTGGCACTGTGGTTTAAGTGGTAAAGCATTAACTTTGAGCTGAAGAGCTGAGGGACAGTGCCCAGGCCCCAAGTTCAAGCCCCATGGAAGGAAGGAAGAAAGAGAGAGATTGAGAAAGAGAGAGAGGGAGGAGGAAGGGGCACATAAAGCATTTACAGAACAAACAAAGGAATGAATGAATGAATGGTACCCTCCAGAAGCAGAATACAGTACACTGAGTTCCTCCAGGATATCCTTAAGCAATCCCTGGTTCAGAATTTTTGGTT